CCGGAGGGGACGGGGCCCCGTGGCGGCTGTGACAGCAGGGTGTCCCCGCAGGCCAAGTACCTGGCGCAGATCATCCTGGTGGGGGCCCAGGTGGTCGGACGGGCCTTCATGCGGGCGCTGCGCCAGGAGTTCGCAGGTAGGAGCCGAGCAGCCATCCCACGGCGCTGGGCACCGCACGGTGTCCCCACAGCCCGGCCCGGGGCACGGCCGTACCCCCCCTTCCCCATCCCCTTCCCCAGGGCACCCCGCTGCCCCCCGTGCCCCCCAGGCTTGTCGCAGGGTGACAGTCAGCGCCCGCATCCTGGTGCCAGCCTAACGGCGTTTGGGCTCCCAGCAGCCATGCCAGGCGCCAGCACGGACCTGGCACCGCTGTCGGGCTCTGAGACATCCCAGCAGCCCCAAAGGGCAGAGCGGGGTGGTCCCCTGGGACCCTGCCCTGCCTGCTTCTGCCTGCCCGCAGCCTGCCTCGCTGTGGGCACCGACAGCAAACGAGTGGCCACCTCCCCCCGGTTCCCGCCACGGGGACCTCGTCCGGGTGACCCCCGCGGGCTGGAGGCAGTGTGAGGAGGGCAGAGGGGTGGAACTGGGATCTGAACACCTCGGAGCCCACGGGCTTTGTCACCCGGCCCCCGCCCGAGGCCTGGGGGTCCCCGGGGGGGCTGTGTTGCGGGGACTCACGCTCTGGGTGTCTCCGGGCAGCGAGCCGAGCGGCGGCAGATGCGCGAGGGCGCTCGGAGAGGCCCCAGTCCGCCGCGGCCTCCAGGATCATCGGCATCAGCCTCCAGGAAGCCCAGCAGATCCTCAACGTCTCAAACCTCAACCCGGAGGAGATCCAGAAGGTAGAGGCTCCCTCGGAGCTGGGGAGGGACGGTGCTGGCAGGGCCCTGCCCTCCCCGCGGCCGCTGCCTGGCGTAGGGCTGACGGCTGGTCCCCGGAGGGAGCGTTGCTGCTCTCCTGGGCCCAGTTAATCCCAGTCTGAGGTTTCCCTGCCCCAGCTGGAGGAGCATGCCAGCAGCTCGCGGGCGTTAGCAGCCCGCCTTGTTCGTCCCCTGCGTGTGCCTGGCGGTGCTGCTCAGGGAAGGGGCCGTGGGCTCCCCAGAGGTGCCTGACCGGGAGCGTGGGGGTCGGGCAGAGCCAGCCGCATCCCCGAGATCGCACTCGTCACCTCCAGCACCGCCACAGGGAGCGGGAGGCTGCCGCGGTTCAGGGCTGGGGAGGGCGGAGGAGATGAATCTGACGGGGAGCTTCTCTTTGGCAGAACTACGACCACTTGTTCAAGGTGAATGACAAATCAGTGGGAGGCTCCTTCTACCTGCAGTCCAAGGTGAGCAAAGGGAGGAGAGGAGGGGGGCTGTGCTGGCCCCCAGCACCTTCCCCTGCCTGGGATTTGGGAGAGAGCGGAGCCTGAGCATCGCCGTAGATGAGGTGGGGAGGGGACGGCCCCGTCCCTCCATGTCACCCTGTCACCCCGTCCCCGTGTCCCGCAGGTGGTGAGAGCCAAGGAGCGGCTGGACGAGGAGCTCCGCATCCAGGCCAAGGACGAGAAAGAGAAGGGGTGGAAAGCCGAGACGTGACTCCCGCCGTCCCCACGCCCCGTGTCCCTCACCCTTAACTTATAGGTAGCCAATAAATACCATGTCCTCCAGCGCCTGGCCTGGCTGCTCTGCGCCCCGGGGAGGGAGAGGGGACTTCCCCACCTCCGCCCCGGAGGGGATCGGCCCCGCGAGCGGCTGGCGGGGCCGGGATTTGCCCTGGGGAGGAGGAGGAGGGAGGCGGCTGGGGAAGAAGGGGTGTCCCCGGGACACCCAGGGTTGCCAGGGCTCAAATGGCACCTGGGGAGACTGCGGGAGCTATTTTTGTGGTGGGTTCGGATGCTTTTGGCCCGAGTGCACGGATACCTCTGGCTCCGTACCACAGGAACGCCGGGAATGCCGTTACCTTTCTCCCACCGCGGGTGGGCAGCCGGGATGACAGCTGGGTCGACGCAAGGGGCCGTGGAGGGGACACACCGAGCTGTCCCCACCTGCGGCTCATCCCGCAGACCCTGGCAGGGCTTCACCAGCACCGGGGCTGCCCAACCAGGAGCGTGGGGACCCACCGGGGGGTCAGGCAGAGCCAGCCGTGCCCCCAGATCACACCCAGCACCCCTCCATCCCCTGGCTTTGTCCCCACCTCGGGCTCAGCGTGGCCCTCGCCACCATCGCGGACTGAAACAGGAACTTACTTCAACTGCACTTTATTGTTTTCTTAATAAACTTCCTCTCCCCTGGAGGAATATAGTGTTATAGTCGTTAGCTTATCCCTTACTTCTGCAGTCCTTAAACGCTATGCTAACAGCGATGGAGCCCAACAGGAGGAAAATAAAAACAACCCAGAAACTACGATAGAAAGGCACTTCGAGACCGTTAAAATACTGATGTCCTGGAATGTGCAACAACAAACCGACGAAGGAGCGAGGAGACGTACACCGTACACCGGCCGGGGCGGCCTGGTCGATGGCCCGCGGCCATGCTGGGGCTGTGGCAGCACCGGCCCGGCCCCAGGAGGGTGAGGGCAGGGAGACCTGCTACCCGCGGGGCGTGCGTGGCCGGGGGGACTCCTTCCAGCGGGGAGGGGGGCAGGATTGGGGAGACCCCACGCTCCGGTTCAGAGAAAGCCGTGGGCGGCAGCGGGAGGTACGCGGGACCCCCTGCGTGCGCTGGGGGGGCTCTGCCCGCGCACGCTGCCCACTCCTGGCACTGCGGCAGCATCCTGCCCATCCCGGTGCTGCCCGGTGGCCCGGGGGGGCTCATCGGGGAACCTCGCCGGGGGGCCGGTGCGGCCCGAGGAGCGTGTGCCCTGCCGGCCGGTGCCAACGTGCCACCGGCAGCAGCCCTGCTGGCACCTGGAGTCCCGCCCGCGCTGCCCGCTGCCTGCATGCGCTTGCGGTACATGGTTAGGTATGAACGTAGCTAAACAGGGTGGCTCTGCCCCGGCGCGGAGCCGGCGTGGCGAGCGGCACACGCGGCCGTGTGCCTTGTCACGGGGAGGGCCGGGGAGGCGGTGGGGGGACAAGGGTGGCCGGAGGGATGCGGGCGGGCACCGGGCCGGGGTGTGCCCAGCCAGCTGGGCCTGGCACGGCAGGGGACGCAAACAGGTGGCCTTGGCCCCGGGCCC